TTGGATTAAACCTCATATAGTAGAAGAGCTAGGGAATTATAATCTACAATTGTTTTAAAATAATTTTCAATTTATAAAAAAAAACACACATATCAAATATCAAAATAATATAGAGTAATGTGTAAAAAGAGAGATTCAAACCTGAATTTATTATCGACTGTAATATATTCACGTATTACTAGATTATGTCTTAATGAAAAATGTATATATAGATTGTGCTAAATCTGGAGATCTTTAATAGCAAACTAATTAAAATATAAATAAATTGTATAACAAAGCTTGAAATTTTGCTTTAGTTGATGCTGAAAGCATCATATTTAATATTTAATTAAAGGGTTATTTAATTTTTCGTGATTTCATAGCCTCTCCTATTATATGAAAAATTCAAAATAAAAAACTATTAAAAAGAATATATATATATATATTCTTCAAAATTAAAATGAATTGCGAAGTGCAATAAATTGATCTCATCATACTTTTTCAATTTTCACTTTTATTTATTTTTTTAAAAAATATTTGTAAGCTTTTAAATGGTTAATTATTACTACCTTTACTCTTCTTATGTTGCTTAAAGTGCTTTAAGCATAATTTTCTCCTAATTACATGGTGAGGAAGTGGAAAATGAATGAATCAAATGATACTATCTTTAGATTGAGTTACAAGTGTTACGTAAATTGGATTAGCACTTGGAATATTAGCTTATGCCAACTTTAATTGCAAAAAGAAATAAATATATATGTGTGAAAAGTTAAAGAGGTAAAGATAAATATGAAATTGGGCCCACCCTTCACAGGGTCCCATCCAATGCAGAAAAATTTTAAGCATTGTCTCTGAGTTGCTCCTTTCAAATTTCACGACTCTCATGTTGATTTTCAGAAGGTTGAAAAGCTCTATGCTATATATATATATATATATATATAAAGAAAAAAATGTCGTTAAAGCATTCGATCTCTGAGTTGTCCTTTCAAATATTTTTCACGACTCTCATGTTGATTTCAGAAGGCGTTGAAAAAGCTCTATGCATATTTATATACGTTATACTATATTATATATGTTTAATATATAATCAATTAATTGTTAAGAAATTTTATATCTTTGTAATCCCAAACTTAAGATTAATGGATGAGAGAAGAATTGCTGAAGAAATTTTTTTAGCCCCTTAATTGTTAATTTGCTAGCTTTATCGCTGGCTTCCATTTGGAAATCGAACGGTCATATATGTCAAGGAAATCAATAATATTAATGTATAATATAGAGAAAAATTATCTGAGCGAAGAGGAGCATGAAAGGATAAAGAATACAGAAAATTCAAAACTGCTCAGCAAGCATTTAGAAAGAGTGAATTGCATGGAGTTTCTTATGGACATGCAAAAGGTGAACAAAGTGATTCTCATTGGAATAATTATGAAAGGACAAGGTAATGTATTCTAATCTTCCCCCAATCGTCAAATTGATTGTAATTTCTTTAGGAACACAAGGGGCTAAAGTTGGTATTTTGGTATATATATATATATATATATATGTTTTAAAATTAATCAATTATTTGTTATGAAATTTAATCTTTTATCCCAACTTAGATTAATGGAGAGAGAATTGCTGAAAAATTTTTTTAGCCCCTTAATTTTAATTTCTAGCTTTATCGCTGGCTTCAGTTGGAATCGAGGTAATAAGTCAAGAAAAATAAATTAATATAATATAAGAAAATTATCTGAGCGAGAAGAGCATGGAAAGGATAAGAACAGAAATTCAAAACTGCTCAGAAAGCATAGAAAGTTGAATTGCATGGGAGTTTCTATGACGGTGACAAGTGATTCTCATGGAATATATTAAAGGAAAGGTAATGTATTCTAATCTTCCCAATGTCAAATTGATTGTATCTTTTGGGAACAAAGGGCTAAAGTTGGATTAGGGTTTCATTTTTTTTTTCCCGAGAAAATTTTTTTCTACAGTTACTAGATTCTCCCTTTGCTTTTGTTTTTCTTTGCTCTGTACATTAGATTCTTTCTCACTTGCTAGTGTCAGGAGAAACATATAAAATCTTACCTTGTGCTTCTTTACAACTCTTTTGATAATAGAATGGATCTCTCTTTTGAACCATATACAGTATTCCAATTTCATATGTTTAATTACCTAAAACAAAATTTATTGTTATTTGTAATGAAAATTGTAATTGAGATCTGTTTGAATCGTAGTATTGCGGATTGCTTAGGAGAATCCTAATGCACCTGAAATAACATTAGGAGTTATGCAATGGCTACCAAATTGCTTGTTGGCTTAGCAATGTGGTATCACTTCTAATTAATAAGAATCAAAGGCAAGGTAATAGTAATGTGCACATGGAGATGGAAGCTTGAAGTGTTCCAATCCCCCAATTTCTTACTATCCAACAAGATTGAATATATGTGTATATATATGTTGATTCCTGTCTTAAGAGTTACTCTTTTGTTAAAAAATTATTTATCAAGCCCTAATAATTTGTATTTGGTTTTTAATTATATATGGTAAGGATTAGACTTGTAGCTAGCAAGAGTGGACTCTTGTTTCAGATTGCACATGAATTCTAATAGTTTAAAACTTGGAAATCAATATTTTACTAATTACTAATTAAGATCTAATCATGGTTCCATGTGTGCATGTGTATAAGGTAAGTCTACTCTTATTTTTGGCTTAATCACTAAAAAAATAATTCAATTTCAGTGTTATCCATAATTCAATCACATGATTTTACATTTAAATCACTTAAGCAAATTGCTAATTTCAATTGCAGTTGATTTAAATGAAACTAGTTCAATTTCTATTATGAAATTGAAATATTTAAATGTTATCCATCTCTTTTCTTGATTTTTTTTCGTAAACCATAGGTATCTAGACCCTTCGGCTAGAGGTTTAATCACAGTTAATGCTCATTATCCTAATCCTTCCCTGAAGGTGCGTTTAGTGGGAATCGAATTCGAGAACTCTTCCCACATGTCCAGCCTGTATTGTCAATTGAGTCGCAATCCATAAATTTTGTCTTAATTTTTTTAATATCGTTTTATGATTAACTTAGAACGGTCAAGAAAAATGACAAATTGTTTTACAAAGAAAATTTAAAATTTAAAATTGTTTTTAGACTCGATCTAATTTTATTTTCTATTTCAAGAAGAATGCTGTGAGTTTTTTAAATGAATATAATTATTATATCTATTGTGAAAAAAATCATGAAAACAAGAAAAGCATTTAAAATTTTCAAAATTTAATAAAGTTCATTATAATAAGATTTTCTTTTATCGACAAGTTATATATACAAGCATAATAAATTTGAAAACACATGAACATATATACCTTACCCCTCTCTCTCGTGGTTAAAAGGTGCTCAAATTCGAAATTTTTTACCTCTCACTCTCTAATTAATGTTGTTTGATTGATCTTAGTTGGCATGAAAAGTAGGAAGTAGGAGTGTAAATAAGCTAAGGTAGCTCATGAGTTGTTTAAGTTTAGCTTGAAAAAAATTCAGCTCAAATTAAGCTCGAGCATGCTCATTTACCAAATGAGTCAAGCTCGATTTTAATGATGTTCAATTTAAAAGTTTGTCTAGTCTTATCGAACTTATATATAAAACATTATTTAGACTTTATTCGGACTTCGAATCGAGTTCAAACTTAAATTTTTTTTAGTTGAATTAAAATTTAAACTTTCGCCCTTAATAGAAAAGTTTCAGATTAGAATTTATATATATATATAATTTTATTGATGTTCATAGAAACGAAAGACTATTGTTTAATACATATTATATTTCTTGCATTCAGAGTCAGGTGAAGATCCCTGATTTTCAGGTTATCCACATCGACCTAGGCCTAGCTACTTAAGTCCATCTATGTCAGAACAAAACTAAATTTTTCTTTTTCCTTTTCCTTTTTTTCTTTTTCCTTTTTCCTTTGGTAATGAAATAGCGACAAATATTTTACATCACAATCGCACCAAAATAAAATAAAATTAAAAAAAATACAATACTTTCTTCTAATTCTTAAAATAATAATAATAATAATAATAACGGTAATTAAAGCAGTTAGTTACCGGCAGCAAGAACATATTTTAACCAAATGATTACATTAAATTATTTCTTGGGCTGGTAATTTTGGCGAAGATCAAGCCTTAATAGCCGTTCCTGTTCTCGAGTTGCTTAAATATAAATAGCCTTTCTCTTAATTAATTATCTCAATATAGTATTTGCAATAAAAAAAAAATTGCTCTGCTACGCTTTTCAATAACAGGAAACTTCCATACCATTTCAAAAATCATTAGCGGGTCTTCCACTATTTTTTTTATATATAAACTTGGATGCCACTGTTTTTGACTAACTGAATTAGATCAGCTGGTTAGATTGATTCAGTTGAAATTGATTTCATGATCTATTCCGTTCATTCTGATTTTATTTTTAGTTTTTATATAAATTTGGATTGAACGGTTTTAGGCGAACCAAATTGGATCAATAGATTAGACCGATGTAGTCGAAATTGATTTCATGACCAATTTAGTTCATTCCAATTTTATTTTTAATTTTTATATTTTTAACCTTAGAAAAACTAAAAGTTAATACTTTCTGAATACCGTTGAAATTGATATAATTTCGAATCGCACAAAAGTTAAGGAAATAATAAAAAACCTCAATTTCTAAAAAAAATTATAATTTATGAAATTATACTTTTATCAAATTCTTTTAATAATAAATATTTGAAATTGGGACAAAAAAAATATTTGAAATTGGGTCAGTTTTACCAGTATGAAAGGAGTATATATTATTATTTTTATTATTATTTAATCGCTTTAAACCAATGAGACCGATTCAATAAATGGTTTGGTTTTAAAAAGTTGAATATAATAAGTGGTTTTAAATTTTTAGGTCCTTATCAATTCCATATCCAAGAAAGTGAAGAAAATGCGAAAGAAAATACCCCAAAAGTCTAGTGGCAAATTGGTAATCAAGAAGCTTTATAAATCCCCATTTGAACACTGAAGGTCCAAGAAAGAAAGCAAGAAAAACCCAAAAAAAAGATTTTTTTTAAAAAAAATGGTTTCTCTACACCCTCTTCAAGTTTTCTCCACAAAGTCATCACCACCATCTTCAACCTTAAGCTCCATGAAAATCAAAACCCTAATTCACACTCTCATCATCTCACACGTGAGTCGGATGGTTCGAGCTCTTTCTAAAGCAAAAACAATTCTTGCTCAGATTCTCAAAGAAAACCAACCTGTGAACTTCATTCTTTACCCCAAGAAAAGAAAGCAAAAACAAAGAAACATATTCTTTGGATCATTTAGGTTACACTATAATTGGTGTAATACTTCTTCACATGTATTGCCTGTTCCAACTACTGAACCGCATTTATACTATGACTCTACATGGAACTCCATCATTACTACAAGTGATGATCTCTGCAATGAGTCTCAGCTTTCAGGGTATCTTCAATGGCTTGAAGATCAAAAGGTGATCAAAGAAAACACTGATGGAGATCAAGAAAATGTTAATGAGATCGATCAGTTAGCAGATATGTTTATCGCAACTTGCCATGAAAAATTCAGGTTGGAGAAGCAAGAGTCTTACAGGAGATTTCAAGAAATGATGGCTAGAAGCATTTGATGAATATTGTGAATTAATTTATGTGGTGGGTTTTCTTTTTTTTCCTTTTTAGCTTTCCCATTCTTCTATATGTGTTAAATACATTGGTGGGGTGAGGAAAGTACATATGGGATTGATCAATTGAGGGTAGTTTGGATTTTATTTTGAAAGTATGGGAATCTAGAGAATTGTACATGAGTGGGGGATTAATTTTGGATGAGGAGGGAAAATTTGTGCAATTCTTCTCTTGAAATGGTAATACTTACAACTTCAAAGAGCATTATTAATGGTGGAATTGAAGTGTGTTCTTTTTTTTTTTTTTTTTTTTTAAAAAAATAAAGTATGGGAATTCTATAGGAGAATTATCGACTCCTAAGCAATTGTAACATTGAATAGTGGGAGGAATAATTTTAGTCGAGAAGTGAGAGGAGGGAAAATTTTGGTGCAATATATTCTCTTAGAATGGTTAATACTATACAACTTCAAAAGGCATTATTAATGGTGGGAATTGAAGTTTTGTGTTTCTTTTTTTTATTTTTTCTTTTTTAAAAAAACTTTCTACATTCTCGAAATTCTCTAGCGAAAATTTTAATATTCAAAGCGTTTATTATATTATGTGAAAAAGAAAAGATAGAATTGTATATTGACAACTGGTACGAACCTTACAATGAACATTCAAGAGTCGTCTGAATAGATCGGCGACATACTATTCCATTTTAATTTAGGTTCCAATTTTATTTGCGATTAAGGAAAAATACATAATTTCACCATGTTCAATTATCCTAATTATCCTTAAAGCTTCAAAACTATACATGTTAATGATTACTCTTTTTGCTATATTCCTTGTTTATTTTATTATGCTTCTTTTTTAACGCCATCTTTTATTATGTGAAAGCACGTGCGAGAGTTTCAAGTATCACGTCATTTAGTATTTCGGACATGTACAAAAACTCAATTATATACATCTTTTGGAATAGAAATTATATATATTATATTGGCTCCCTCTGTATCATTGATTTAATAGCTGATAAAGCCTGTTTTATATATATTACAGTATCATAATCGACATTTCTATAGCACGGCATTAATATAGCATGTGAAATTAAAAAATATTTGTCAATTTCCACTTAAATGTTTATATTTACTAACATTAATCGCATTATTAAAAGATATAATCTTTTAAAAGAATATTATTATTAAATTTACATGAAAGTGTGTCTATATCACGATAACTCATTAAACATTCACTTATAATATGTTATCTATAAAGTTTAAATCTGAATTGACAAGTGCATTATTAAAACCTAAGTATCATATCTCAAATTTCATTAATTCCCTCCTCATTATTTATCAGTAATCAAAACAAAACATAAACAAAAAAAAGTTTCAGACACTTGTATCTTTAAAGTCTATAGGGTACACAAAATCTCTAGTTCCCATACTAGGGTTGGTCATTTTTTTAATTACCATCTCATCTGGTCTATTCTGAATTTGGATTATATATATATATACTACTAATATTTAACGTTGATTATTTTGGAAAATTGATCGCCAATCCATTGTTTTCTATAGTAATTTTTAAATTAATATCTTTATAGACTGTGTCATTCACTATATATATGTTTGGACAGTAGGTTTAAAGTCTCACTCTCCTTCCTCACCTCCCACTCTCTCATACTAAGACAATGGGTCATTTATGTAGAACCCTTTTTGTATTGACGCTAGAGTTTTATACTATTAAAGCTTTAGTTCAAAAAATTTTCGAGAATGACTATACGTGAATTGTAAGGAGCAAGCAAGAGATAGAATTACGCAATTGGCCCCAGATAAACATTGATTAGATATAAAGCAAATAGCAGGTGATAGATTGTATTTATATTCTATTAACCTTTACAAAATTTAATTAAATGGTTAAGTGGAAGATTCTAACATACTAATAGAGAATCTATATATATCCACATTGATAGGAGTGTGATTTATTCTTCTTTATAAAGTTAAAAGCAATTAGTAGATTAAATTATAAGATTACCCTATTGGAATCCAAAGAAATTATTTAATCGAAAAGAGAGATCAAGCTAATGAGACAAGGACTTACCTTGATCAAACACTAATATTGATATACAATTTAATAACTCGAATATATATCATATATAACTATTAATACTATAAGAGACATATCTACAGATATAGAAATAGAAGAAATTAATAATTTTACACACATAATATATAAATATAAATATATATATATGTAATAGGATATAGTCTGGATCCCCTCCTCAATACTTAAAAAAAAAAAAACAAAAAAAAAAAAGGATGGATATGGGTGAATATAAAAAATATTATATCCCAATTCCCACATAATCATAATATGATAATTAGAAATATTTAAAAATAGAGCTAAAATAATAGAGGCGTATGATTTTTTTTTTTTTTTTTTTTTTAAAAAAATTTCTACATTCTGAAATTCTCTAGCAAATTTAATTTTCAAATGTTTATTTATATGAAAAGAAAAGATAATTTTGTTTGAACTGGTAGAACATACATGAATAAAGAGTTCTGAAAGGTGGGACATACTATTCATTTTAATTTGGTTCCAATTTTATGCGATTAAGGAAAAAACATAATCACATGTCCATATCTAATTTCCTTAAAGCTTCAAACTATACATGTATGATACTCTTTTGCTATATCCTTGTTTATTTATTATGCTTCTCTTTACCCATCTTTTATGTGAAAAGCACGAGTTTCAAGTATACGTCCATTAGTATTTCGAATGTACAAACTCATTATTAATTTTGGAAAGAAATTATATATTATAATTTGGTCTGTATATTTTAATTTAATAGCTGATAAGCTTGTTTATATATATACATATATAATCGAATTTATAGCACGCAATTAGCATGAAATTAAAATATTTGTCAATTATCATTAAATGTTTATTAATAACATAATGAATAAAAAGATTAATCTTTTAAAAAGAATATTATATTAATCATGAAAGGTTTATATATGATACATTAAACATTCACTTTATATGTATCTATAAAGTTTAATCTGATGACAGGTGCATATAAAACCTAAGTATATATCTAAATTCATATTTCCTCTCATTATGTATCAGTAACAAAACAAAACATAAACAAAAATTTTCAGACACTTGTATCTTAAAGTCTAAAGGTACACAAAATCTCTAGTTCCATTACTAGTTGGTCATTTTTTAATTACCATCTCATCTTCTATTCTGAATTTGGATTATATATATATATATATAATATTTAAGTTGATTATTTTGGAAATTGTGCCAATCATTTTTCTATAGTAATTTTAAATTAATATCTTATAGACTGAGTCATCCACATATATATGTTTGGAGTAGGTTTAAAGTCTCACTCTCTCTCACTCTCTCTCTCTACAAGACAATGGGTCATTGTGGAACCCATGTATGATGCTTTTTATACTATTACTTTAGTTCAAAAATTTTCGAGATGACTTTAAGTGAATTGTAAAGGAAGAAGAAGATAATTAGCAATTGGCCAGTAAACATTTTGATTAAAGCAAATGCAGAAAGATTATAATCATAACTTTACAATTTAATTAAATGTTTAAGTGGAAGATTCTCTACTTGGAATCTTTATCCAACATTGTGGTTGGATTTTTCTTCTTTATAATTAAAGCAAATTGTAGATTAAATTATAGATTACCCTATTGGATCCAAGAAATTATTTTCGAAAAGAAAATTAAAGCATGGACAAGGGACTTCCTCTGATCAAACCTATTTGAAAATTACCTTTTAATTAACTCGAAATTTATAATTATAACTAATTAAATACTTAGCTTAATTCTACATTAATAAAAAATTAATATTTTTACGCCAGGACATAGTCTGGTGGTAAATACATGTAATTAATATGGTAATAGATATAAGTCTGGATCCCCTCCCTCAATACTTAAAAAAAAAAAAACAAAAAAAAAAAATGAATTTGAATAAAATATTATATCCCATCCCACATATCAAATTGTATTGAATTTAAAATAGAGCTAAAATTAATAGGGATGACAATTTGATCCAACCCGGTGGGTACCCAATGTAATCCGATCCGATTTTAGTGGGTTCGGGTAGTGAATAAATGCAAATGGGACATGTTTGAGTAGTATTTTAACTACGCAACTCGTATTGAGCTTGGGTTCAAAAACTCGATACCTGCTACCCGTTTAATAGATATTCAAAAAATATTAAAAATAATTATTTGTTTAAAGATAATTTTGACACTTTTTTTATTATAATTAATGCCATAGTTATGTTTAATATTTATATTATATTTTTTATTAAGTCAATAATAATTTTACAATTTTTATTTACTTTTATCATTGAAAAATAAAAATTTAAAATATTTTTAATGCTAAACGGGTAGTTAAATGGATTCAAGTATTTAAACAGGTAAGTATGTCTTGTATAAATCCTGTTGTTTTATAAACAGTAACAAATTTGAAAAAGAATAATTAAACCCTAAAATTCTCAGAGTGGTAAAGTAAAATTAAGGAAGAAAAGCCCTATTCATTCTGTAGCAAAACAGTGACTTGCATTCATCTTTCCAAGTTTAAAATTTCAGATTCCTTATTCTAACTGCTTTAAATTAAAGGTCATTTTCATAAAGTGAAACAATAAGAAGCTCTCTTTAATTCCTTTATAAGAAATTAATGACATTTCAAAAAAAATAAAATAAAATAAAATAAAACAAGAAGAAAAGGGAAGAAAAATCTTAATGAATCTTTGATGATTATAAGAGCACATGCAATGACAGGAGCATTAGAGTACATATGATGTTCCATGACAATGCATGCATACATTTAATTTAATAATATAATATGATCGAAAGACACACTTCCTTTCAACCTTAATTTGCTAACTACTTAGTACCTTTACATATGTCATATCCCCAAATGACACACGCCTTGTCTTGCAAGTCACAAACTACGTATCTATACATATGAATTCAATTTTTACGCCTAAAATACGTGATTTGGTTCGAAATAACTGAACCAATTTGATTCATTCTATGCCGAATCTATATCTCCAGTATTTGGTCAATTTCAGGTTGAACCAAACCAATTCAGTTAGACTGAATGCTCACGTCTAAGAGGGATAAGACATTGATAGTTAGACGAGAATCTTTTAATTAGTCAGGAATAAGAAGCAGACAAGGCAATATCTAGTCAACCAAGCTTTTGCAGAGATGGTGTAGAACCAAACTGTAAAAGGAGTTTGAGAAGGCATCAATTGTACTCATTTTCAATTTTCTTGGAAGTTTCTTTATTCCAAGGTTAAGGCTTTAGCAGAGCAGAATTGGATCCTTTGATCTCTATCTCCTTGTTTATAGACCACCTTTATGATTAAAAAAAAAAAAAAAAAAAAGCTAATGACCATAAACTCTTTCAGATTTAATAGCTGTTCAAATATCATTTCTATTTATAATTTTCAGTCTCTGTTTTTTACACTAGAAGTTCGTATCTCTAAGAACATTTCGATGAAACAAAATGAAATTTTTTTCTTGCTGTAACCTGTTTTCCTGTTTTAAAATAACAAGTAACAAAAATAAATATACTAGTAGGTTTTTATTTTACATTTGTAAAAGAAAGACCAACTGCTTATCAATAGAAAACAATCGCCACTTTTTAAAACACAAGCTAGAGAGTACAGAGCTATGACACCAGAAAAATCTATAGCTATTGTCTTAAAACTCTGCCGCCCCGAACAAGATTAGACTTAGCCCAGTGGATGAGAGACACCTATGGTATAAACCAAAAACAAAAAGCATTACAGGACAATCTTAATATAGATTAGCAATTTGAAAGGAAATTCAATTGTGTATCAAAAAGCAGGGAATGAGATGCAGTTGCCTGCAACTTTTGATATTATATCCTGTTCAAGGAGACAATTTTATTCTACACATTGTTCAAGAAAAATACAACAGAGAGACGAAAAAAAGGTGTGCTACTGTTCAAACATTCTCCAGATAAATTAATATTTGAGGATCAACAAAAATTCCTGTAACGAAAATTAAATTTATCAAAATTAGCTTACTCAATTTGAACTGTAGAAACAGATTAAATAATTTTCTCAATATCAGAAGTAACTTCTCCAAACACCATTGAGCCCATCAGCAGAGTCCACATGCCTCAGGAACTCCGGCCAGCCAACTCCTTCCATATGTCCATAATAGTAATAGCATCAAAAGTTGAATCTGCAAATATCTGCTAAGAACTTTCAATCAAAGAGATCATTGAACAGACAAAGTAAACTCCTTCCATATATCCATAGTAGCATCCAAAAGTTGAATCTGCCAATATCTGCTAAGAACTTTCCAATCAAAGCCACCATTGAACAGACAAAGGAGCCGGATGGTGCTGCACATAACCTGAAGAATCCATTTAAGATTTGGGATCCATTAGAGAAGCAAGATCTCACGCATCTCACAACAGATATATTAAGGAACAAGAGGGCTAAAATCCATTAAAGAGCCTGTTTGGCTTGACCATTGAATTTAGAATACAGAAAACCAATTTCATCAATCTGTTTCCAGAAGTAGTAAACCTAAAAACTCAGAAACATTAATGTTGTAGAAAAGAAATAAATAGAAGAGATAGTCCGAGTTCCTTTTTTTTTTCAAATCATTATTTAAAACAAAAAGGGATGAAGTTGAAAATTGAAATAAAGCCAACCTGCCAACGCACCTGCAGCCTTGACCATCTGGGAACATATGATTTCTGATCTGAAACAGGCATTCCTTACTCATAAAAAGCAACAGTGCCATATTCACTGCTGCCTGAATGAGTGTAGCGGCTTGCTGAAGTCCATCCTTTACACAATTTATGAAACTGTCCCAAAGTGAATGTTATGAGAAATAAAAAAAGATAAAATAAGTTATAGAAAGATCCACCATCACTAGAAGAAGTTTAAAAGATTATAAGAGGCAGAGAGAGAAGGTAAGGGTCAGTCATGTTGCTAAGATTTCAAATTAACAAGGATTTAAAGCTACCGATTGAGATGATTAAATAATAATTGAAAACGGAACAAGAAGAAAAACATCAGGAATTAGGAAGCATGCCTGCATTGATAATCAAGAGGACTAATTTGATTGTAAAACTGCAAATTCTCATTTTTTCTGATTTCTAATTTCTTATGGATTTCTTTTGAATTTTAACTTAATTTTGAATGATCAAAAGGGCAATATAAATTTTTAATCCATTTCTTTATTTCTACCTCAAAGATTCTTAAATAGGAGTGTAAAGACTCCTCAGAAACACAGTCAATCAACCATTTATCAGCATCATCCAGATGGTACACCAATCAACATGAATGTACTTGGAAGAGGGAGTAGATTTTGAACAGAGAGATACGTATAGTAAAAAGAGTCGTGTTATCTCGCAAAATAACCAAAAAAGTTCAGAAAATGCAAGAAATATTAGAAAATACACTAAGCCTTTAATTTAGAAAAGGCCAACATGATTAATTTGCTGCATCAAATCCCTGCAATTTTCGACATAGAATCTACAATAACCTTTTTTATCCATTAGTGGTTAATGGAGAATTCCTATTTAATCATAGAAGATTCATAAGAGTCAAGGATTGAGGGGAGAAAATGAGACGCCATATATAATTCTAAATTTTAATATTATCTAATAGTTGAATTTCATAAGTTATGATATTCAAGGTCCAATTCATTATAATAAGTAATATCCATAAAATAAGAAAAATCAGTGAGGCAAATTTTCAGAGGGAATGAGTGCTATGGGCCACTAGCCCAAAACCAGCTTTGCCAAGTATGCTTTTAACAAAATTAATTAAAGTTCAAGCCACAGATGCTACAAAACCAAACATTACAATATTTTCCGGTAATTACCAATTTACATGTCCCTGCCCTGTGTACAACAGTTGGGTTGGATGTTCAGAAAACGGTTGAACTATTTGTGGAAGGCTAGATGGTAGCCCAATAGCCACTGCAAACCAGTCGCCGCATGCTATCTACAATGGCAATTGCAGTCTTCCTACAGTACAGATAGATAATTTGAACCAGGTCATGTTACATAGAAAGGTAAACAAGTAAAGCTCACAGATATCAAATATAATAGAACTTACACAAATTAGGAAAAGGAACAACAAAAATCCAAAGAAGAATTTTACTCTCGTCCAGCAAAGTCACTTTCCTCAAAAGGTGCTCCAACATGGTGTTCAGATCAAATGAGGAATTCATTTCGTTTGTAAGCGAATTTCATCTATAAATGCATTCTCATGTTTGTATCCTAACAATCAAATATCGATACTTGCAACTAATTTTGGTTGGATATAGAATTCATTTGCAAATTATACTAAATTAGCAGAATTTGGTTCAAGTACAACAAGTTCCATGAAATTAATGAAACGGAATTCCAAATGAATTTTCATTTATACCAAAAGATGAAATGTATGGATTTGCAAATGAATTCCATAATTCTTTAATATGATTCATTTATACAAACAAGGGGTAAAGAAACATTAAAATTATGGAAGAAAGAACTATATAATGGAATTCCAGAACAAGTCCTTTCTTCAATACAGGTTCAGAAGTCAACCACATTTCTGCAAGAAAGATGAACAATTGTAAAAATTATCCTTAATATTCCCACAGAATTAACTACATCAGGAATTTGAACTAGCAAGTTCAAAGTGGGTTTTATTGCAAGAGACTTTTGAAGCAAACTAAAAAAATTAAGCCACTTAGATTCTTAAGGTGCAGATAACCCACATTTCCTTGATGTAATACAATTAACTCTAAAAGTATAGCTAACACATTTCCATTCTAGAATCAAGTAAAAAAATAAAAAAAAAGAAGAAGAAGAATAATCATTATGAAAAGTTAGAGTCCCTTTCTCTACAACATAGTCTCAGAGCAAACTAAGACCCGTGCTTTAAAAGTAGGAGATATAAACAGCACATCAACAAAGTCTAACAAAAGGATTGGCCCTTGTAATTTAGAAAACTAACAAATTAAAAGATCAAATAGAAAGCATGCTATTGCTTCATGACCTGACTCCTAAAACCACATGCTACACATAGATACCTTTCAGCTATATAGGACAAAGATTATCTTGAGCGAGTCTTTCATGTTTGACCACAGTTCTTCAAATCATGCCATTTTATAATTTAAAAAACTCTTTCATGTGTGCATGTGTTTCATGAGAGCTAATTTTGATCCGTGTAATAGACAAAAAAATAAGATTAATACAGACATAAAAACCACATTTACAGATGATATACAGAAACAGAAAAGCCAATAATTTAATTACCTTACTGGATGTTTGATTTTCAATGAAAATGTTTTCAACCTTGGACCCCTAACTGAAAGAGCTATAAAAAGAGAACATCACTTTCCAACTAGAGATCATCTAAAGGAAGCAGAGCAGGATCAAGTTCCCAGAAGTCTTTTAAACGAGCAGGGACCTCATCATCAGAAAGCTTCCTTGCAGGGATCTGATGTGAAAGCAACCGCACATCATCTTTTTCAAGCCTTCTAATAGCATGAACTCCAACTTCACGCCTCTTATATACAGTATTATATCCCTCAACTCTCTCAAGGCAGGCGATGCTCAACCCATACATCTCACTGTAACTGGTCAAAATCACAACAATTTCAAAGCATTCTTTATCCCTAGCTGATGTATTTCTTTCTTCTGCACCAAAATTCACTTCATTATGAAGTGCCCATACTGAACCCTTTACAGGATAAATCCGATAAACTTCTCTTGCCGCCCTTTCACAATCAACAACATGTGAAAAAACATTCAGGGACTTAATGGTTGTCTTTCTAGAAACCTTGAATCTCCCACATGGTACATGAAATCCCTTTTTCTTCCAACCAATCAATCCTTCATCCCCATCACTTTGAAGATCCAACCAACTCAACTTCACCTGAAAAGGATTTAAAGAAATAACTTCCTCTATCAAACCATAGCACCTCGGCAATCCATCATCATCATCATATATAGCCCACACTTGCCCTTTCCTAAAACTCCTCTCCCCTCTATCTCTATTGAAGTCATAAAATTCAGAATCCTCTATGGTCATTATCTCTGAATCCCTCCTTCTAAGACCCTTCTGGTGCGCTCTCATACTTGCACTCTTCCTTGATGCACCACGCCCCTCAGTATCTAAATTCCTATTCTCGTCCAAATTGTCTTGTGCTTCAAGTTCCACCACTCCAGTCTTCTTTGAAACTCCATCTTTCTTAACCTTTCTATCCACAAGCTTTGTCAAGGCCTCAAGTTTTTCCTTCTCCTCTTTTTCTTTTGTCTTCTTTCTCACATCCTTCTGCTTTTCCTTCATCTTTGCCCTCTCTTGGATAACTCTTTGCTTTGCTTCCAATCGCATCTGTGCTAGTGTCATCATTTCCTCCCCAAATTTCACCCTCTTTGGCTTTGATCTCTCCAAGACTTCATCAACAGTACTCATTTTCCTCCTCAATCCTCCATTCCTCAACCTGCCACCACCCCATTCCCCAGAACCATCCTCTTTCACCTCGCAGTTCTCACTCCTCGCTCTCTGACTGCCAATTTGACCACCACCCACTTTCCTTCTTGAACCCACACTGGCCATCTTCTTACTGCTCCCTAAATTCCCCCCCAACTCCTCAATCCCTTCTTCACCAACAACCACTTTTCTCCTCAACCTCTCACTCCTAACTCTAACCCTATCCGCAATTCCATGTTCCTCCTTATCCCTTTCTTCCACTTCTACAGCCTCAAAACTCTGCTTACAACTAGGACAAACTAAATTGTGCCCTAAATACCTTCTCTCAAACTGATGCAAAAGCCTACATCTTGAACAGGCAGTCCAAAATGTCTCCACTACAGAATAATCATTGACCCTCTCTTCCTGAAGCTTGATCCTCAACCTCATATCATATTCTTTCCTCTTAATTTTATCAGACAAAACCCTAAAACCCTCACCCACAAGTTTAAAAGCCTCCTCACATCCTAAATATGAATTTTTATCAGGATGCAAATTCAAAGCCAGCCTCTTGTATTCTTTTTTGATTGTATTTATATGAGAGAAGGGCTCTACCTGAAGAATCTTATACCAGTCAGAGATATCAGATTGGGTCTTCGAGGCCACCTGGAGAATCTTGAAGGCCGTGAGCATTGAAGAGACACCGTCAAGGTTTGGACAGAGACGGTGAGCTTTCTTAATGTGTTTGAGTGCAGATTTAATGTTAGAGTCAGTGTACTTAGTCTCTGCTATGGTTTTAAGACGGAGGGCTGCTCGTTGTTGGTCTGAATCAACCTCCATTTTTTCACAATTAGTGAGTAGAGAGGCGCAGAAAGGAAGCAGAGAAAGTGAGTTACAGATAAAATGGAAGGGAAAGGCTTCGTCTTTTCAGTTACAGACTTTTCTTCGTGCACAGTTCCGCTCTAAATCGTGGTATATGTTTAACGGCTGGGTCGGGCTAAGTTTGGGCTGGACCAATTACTCTAAACCCATGAAGCCCAGCACTTTAAATTTAAATTTATACCGTACATGCGCAATGTGCCAATTAATTATCATAAATTATATATTTATAAATAAATATTTAAAAATTAAATTTGCTAGAGATTTCAGAACGTTGAAGTGAAAAAAAGAAAAACACACAGCTCCAATACCATCATTAACAATGCTCTTTGAAGTTGTAAGCATTACCATTTCAAGAGAAGAATTGCACAATTTCCCTCCTCATCCTCATACAAATAATCCCCCACTCGTGTACAATTCTCTAGACTCAATATGTACTTTCCTCACCCCACCAATGTATTTAACACATATAGAAGAATGGGAAAGCTAAAAAGAAAAAAAAAAAGAAAACCCACCACATAAATTAATTCACAATTTTTTTTATTGATACAGTAAGGAAGAAAAAGAAACACTAACTAGTATGGAAGGCCAAAAGTATATAATTGTTCCTACACTTTAGGGTTTTATCCCTAACCATATAGTACTTTAAAGCTTATTTTCTGGGTATGTATAGTACTTTTATTTTTTTACTAATAAATAACACAATAAAATAATATGAACCAAAACGTTAATCATCCACTTGTTTGATCCTCCACGACAGTATCTCGTTATGCATGATGTCTAAATATATTGACTCTGCTACTTAGGAGCCACAGCGAACTTTGTGGATTGCTTTAAGCCGGGTTCTACTGTCGTAGGCTGAGAACCGCAACACTACAATTCTGTAGGAAGAGAGCAACTTCTCCCATTAGTATTTGGGGAGTCAATGCACCCTATAGAGTGTCTTAAATCGGGATGTCAACACCTGACCAATGACCTAAATCAACGAAGTGCTAACACAACTAATAGTCCCTTTTTTGTTAAATATATATATATGGTTGCAAATCCCAGAGAGAGTTTGAAATTTGTTTCATATTCATATGTAACATAACAATACAATTTCGAAAATCCATTAAAACTTTTTTAAAATGTTTAGATTTAATGCGTTTTTAGGGGAAATAGATGAATTTCATTAAGATAAAAGACGAGACAGAATCAGTTCCTCAATCCAGATGTGCTCTTCAAATTCAAAAATAAGAGCATATTAGGCTAAACTATGAGCTATCTTATCACGTAACTTATTAACATAATAGCATTCATGAAAAGAAGAAAACTACTATCATTAATAGTGCGAATCTGCAATATTCTTTTATCTAAATCAATATTTTGGAGAATAAAAGACACCACCTTGGAGAATCATGTATTGTTATCTTTATTCTTATTTAAAAAATAATTGAAGATCACAACATAAATAGTTTTCTCCATATATTCAAAAAATAATAAAAATCTCACATTTCTTTTTTTTTTAGTATCAAGGAGCAAATTTAAACATAGATCTATTGTCAGACTATATATACACTTACCACTAGACTATATCTTAGTATGCAAAAATCTTACATTTCTCAAAAACAAACAATAACAGGAAATCCCCTTTACAAAAAATAAAAGCAATAAAATGATCTCATATAATTGAAATATTATAGGAATCAATTTTTAATATTATATTATATTATCAAAATATGATTATAATTTCAAGATTCTGTTATTAATAGTTATTAAATATAGGTAATAATTTAAAATTTTAATTATCATATTTAATTTAAAAGGCAAAAAATTAATTTTGCCTCTACAATTTCTTGAATTCCTTACCATCAATAATATATTAATGAGAACTGAATATATAGAAACAAAATATAGAGTATAGTAATTTTATTTTCTTGACTTGTAGAGATGATTTTATAATTTGGAGAAACAAATCTTTCCCTTGTATTTGACATTAATTCTTGCATTTTATGATAAGAAGGGAAAGAAAAGGAAAAAGGGGAAGAAATTCAAAGTCAAATTTCAATATTTTCTTATTCATGATAAAATTCGAGAAAAAAAAAAAACTTGAATAGAACATTAAAAATAATTATGTTCAAGAGAAAATGGTGTATAACGTTCAAAAAAGAAATGATTGAAATGCATGAACCCTAACCGACCTTCACAATTCTCCCCACGTCACAAAATAGGAGTTCATTTCTAAAAAATTATAAAATAATTAATAAATAAATGAGACAACTATTGAATAATTTTTTTTGATATTAAACTAATTTTAAGATGTCATATTAAATTTAATAAAAAAAAAGTAAAATTAAAGCATTTTAAAAAGGACTTTATTGTCAGACAATTATGCAAATGGAACCTTAATTAATTAAAAAAAAAAGCTAATTCATTTAACAATTAAGTCAAATATTAGCATTGCTCAAATCAGATTATATCGGTTCTTATCATAATTTATATATTTTCAACGCAATTATACTAAGAGCCCATTTGGAACAAATAATCTGTAAAATTATGTAAAATTTATTTGGAAATTCAAAATATTGTGTTTGAAATAAAAAAAAAAAATACAGATTTGAATTTTATGAATTGAATTATATGAAATTGAGTATGACTAATTCAAATTCTATTAAAATCGATGGAATTTGCAATAAATTTCACAAAATTGACTATTGAAATTTGATTATATCGAAATCGGCACGTATGACTAATCAAATTCTATAAAAATCGATGGAATGATAAAATTCAACAAAATTGACATATTGGAAATGTTTATTGACAAAATTACCTCACTAAATTAACTATTTTTACTTTTTTTTTCCTTTTATTTATTTTCTTTGCGAAAAAATTCAAACTAAAAAACATTTATTGTTTTTATTCCAAAATTGCGTTAGTTATATTTTTATTTTTTTTCTTTTTTTTTAGTCTAGTAATATGTTACTTGTTATTAGTGTGAAACTGATAAAAAAAATGCGAGTATCAATAATTGTTTTCAAATGCAATTAAAAAACAAATAATAAATTAATTTTTAATATTTTTTTAGTTTTTAAAATTTAATTACTTAAATTAAATAAAAAAATTTTACATCAATAAAATATTATTATAGATGAATGTTACTACTTAAGATATAGTAATTTAATTAGCCGTATTAATTAGCGTGAAATATTAATGTATTTATTTATACGAAATTTATTATTTATATTTTAGTAAAAAAATGACAAATTATTATATTGTACATAATAAATATAATTTGGTATTTATTATTTATTTTTGTTAAATTATTATGTCAAGGCTACTATAAGAAGTAAAGATAATAAATTTTTATTTGAGAATTTATTATAAACATAATTTTGTAGAATTTAACTGAATTTCTTATTTTAAATGGTAACATACCAGTCATGACAAATTCATTTGTAAATGCATTCTATAACTATTATTCATTTATTCCAAATGGGCCGTACGGATTAACTAATTATGAATTTGTAATCATGAAAATTCTTTTTTTTTTTAAAAAAAAAAAAAAAGTTTAAAAAAAAAAAAAAAGAAAATTTATGAGGCATATATAAAGTGTAAAGACAAATGTGGTACCTAAAAGGGCAATGGACGACATCGGGTTAAAATTTTTTTTTTTAAAAAAAAAAAAAAAGAAAATTATGAGGCTTTAAGTGTAAAGACAAATTGTTGTACCTAAAAGGTGCAATGGGACATCGGGTTAAAAATAGAAATAAAAACAAATACTAAAAGGTTAGAATAGAACGTGCGGTGCGGCTCTCACTCACTTTCCATCTGTGGTTGCACTGAAAGTGAGTTTTGCCCTCTCAATTCTTTCTGTATGAGACAAGAATATGCATTAAATTAAATTATATAAAGCAAAACTATCCATGTGGTTGCTACAATACAATTATTCTTCTTGCTTGTAATGGGACACCTTTTGAAATATGGTCTTTCAATCATAATTTCTTTATTTAGTCCATAATTTATTTATAAAATATTTCAGAAATTAAAATCAAATTTAAATTTAAATACTTTTTTTAGGATTAAGTGTGAATTTAAGTATTATAAATACTTAATAATTACAATATTGATTTTGAAATCTGTATTATTTGTAGGAACTATGTTATAAATTAAATACTAAATCCATAAAAAATGCAAAAAAATTTTTTAAGTTGTAAAATTGTTAAATATATAAATAAACGAACCCTTCAATCTTCCATTATATATATATTCTGTATCATTCTAATGACTCAAACATTCTATAAAAGAATTTGTACAATTTCCATAATTTAGATAATTTTCTCCCTCACGGCTCATTAACATTAGCATGGATGAATTCATAATTAAAATATTAAAAAAATATATAAAAAACACATGTAAAATAAAAAAAAAATACTAATTAATGTCTAATTCTACACTTTTTACAATCTCTTCTGAAACAAAACAAAGCAGAAATTAAACTTAATTCACAGATCTTACAAAATAACAGAATTTGGGATTAACTATATAGCTAATTAATATTACAAAAACATTAATTAATAATATGAAACTAAATCTCGAAAAGGAAAAAAATCACTCTCTCCGTTAATTCTTGCAGACAAAAAGAGAGAGAGAGAGAGAGATCTGTATTATATTTATCATTAAAAAGAAAGAAAGAAGGAAAGAAATTACTTGTTTTGTATGGGATTAGAAACACTTGGAGGTGCTTTCCTTAAGCTTTGCTCCACAGCTTTCTTGGCCTCTTTTACTGCTCCATTATTACTAATTATCGATCTTCTGTTAGAAGCCATTAATGGAAGTAACTTCAATAGCTTTCTTGGCAGATTAATATTTCTTTGATGATATATGGGAACGCCATTGCTATAATTGGCAGTGCTTTCTTCACGGCAAAGACATAAAGAATTGGTTGTAATTCCGATGTGAACAAGAACCAGAAAGGCCAAAATGATCTTCATTGAAATGATTACTCAGTGAAGTGAAAGAATACCGTGAAGGACAGAGAAAGATTGAGAAGAAGGTGTAAAAGATGGAATAGGTTTATATGGGCAACGTG